TATATATTTATAATTTTAATAAATGACAAATTAAAAAGGAATGAACATTTTTTTGTATCGAAAAAATATCGAACCGTGACACCAAAGTATCGAACCGAACCGTGAATTTTGTGTATCGTTGCACCCCTAATATATATGTCCCCTGCTTTCATAAAGGATGCTCCAGTAGTATCTCCTCTGCTAAAGGAGGTAATTGTCATGGTACCGTGTCTGCCTGGCTCTCCCTGTGTGGCTACATGTGTGTTTTTGTTTTTGCCTCTGCTCTGTCTTGCTCTCGCTCCCTCCCCTCTCTGTTCTCCCTTTGTTTTCCACTATGCCTGGGTGGAGCTCATTATGGGCTCCCACCCATAATAATTTCCCCGAAGCCTGCCCTCATGTCCCTTGGATTTTTCCCCGTGTGTTCGTCTCAGTGGAGAGTGTGTGGATTACTGGAGCGTTTTGTGGATTACTGCCTGTGGAACGTTCTGTGGAGTCCAAGTGAATCTCCCTTCACCGTGTAAATATTCACCTGGTGTTTGTGTAACGAATAAAATTTGTAAATATACTGTCAGCGGTCTGCGCGTGAGTCCGTTCAGTCAGCCACGACAAAAATAAAGGAAGCAATGAAGCACCTTTCCTCACTATTTGGAGAATTCAAGCAGCTCTTATTGTTTTTTTCATGCTTCCTGTGCTGCTTTGGATTTCGGTTTGATGGAGTTGTATTTTGGCCATTAAAGGCTCCTTTTGTCACTTCCTCACCTGCCTCTGCATCTTTCACCTGTCCTCAGTATTATTTTACCTTTCATACAGAGCATTTCAGGGTCAGGCTCCTGTGTATGTAGTCCACTGAATTAAAGCTGAAAGTTTAAACTTCAACTGCATTTGAGTTTTTTCCTTTGAAATTCACTGTGGTAACCAAAATTACAAAATGTTGTCTCTGTCCAAATATTTATGGACCTAACTGTAGGTCTGCTTTTAATTAAAATCTCAATATGTGTTATCAGTTATCATTAATGTTCCTGCAAACAGACTCATTGGAGACCCCCTACATAAATATCCATGTACTATCCAACTAGACTAGTGTGTCTGTCCCTAAAAATACTCCTCCATGTGTGATCGTTCATGTCTCATCTGCAGGAAACAAACAGGAAGTGAGTGAAGGACACAGGAAATGTTTCCAGCTCTTCCTCCTCTATCAGACATTCTCTTCATACCTGAGAGTGTCCAGTGGATCCTTCAATCCAGCCAACAGCAGCTTCATTCCTGAGTCTCCTGGATGATTGTAGCTAAGGTCCAGCTCTCTCAGATGGGAGGGTTTGGAGTTCAGAGCTGAGACCAGAGAAGTACAGCCTTCCTCTGTGATCAGACAGCCTGACAGACTGCAGACACACAAAACATGAATCCATCTGTGAACAATGATTTTCTGTTTGTCAGATACAATAACATTATCCATTTACGTCCATTAAGTTTAATTTAACTTTATTTATAAGTGACTGTTTGCCGGACAAGGTACAGGACTCCGCAATACAACTACCGGGGTTCTCTGTGCACCACGCGGACAGGTCACAGGATCTTACTGGTAAAAGCAGAGGCGGTGGTGTGTGTTTCATGATCAACAACAGCTGGTGTGATTATGCGAACGTGCACCCGGTCAAATCCTTCTGCTCACCGGACCTGGAGTACCTGATGATTAAGTGCTGGCCATTCTGGCTACCGAGGGAATTCACAGCAATGATTATTACGGCTGTTTACATTCCCCCACAAGCCGACACTGACTGAGCACTCAGGGAACTGTACAGCGCGATCAGCAGTGAGGAAACCGCACACCCAGAGGCGGCGTTTATCACGACCGGGGACTTTAACATAGGAAACCTGAAGAAAGTTTCACCAAAACTCCACCAACACATCCATTTAAACACTCGTGGAGACCGGCTACTTGACCACTGCTACACCTCTTTCCAGGATGCATACAAAGCCTTCCCCCGTGCCCCATTTGGCCAATCAGATCACCGCTCCATCCTGCTCCCGCCCGCCTACAAGCAGAAGCTGAAACAGGAAGCTCCAACCCTGAGGGCGGTGCACCGTTGGTCGGACCAACCGAGGTCTACGCTGCGGGACTGTTTTGATCACGCGGACTGGGAAATGTTTCACGTGGCAGCTAATGACATTGATGAGTACACAGACTCAGTGTACTCGCGTGGAAGATGTCGTCCCATCCAGAACAGTTAAATCCTTCCCAAATCAAAAACTCTAGATTAACAGAGATGTTCACACGGCACTGGCGGCATGGAGCACTGCTTTTGCCTCCGCGAACACATCGGACTACAAACATGCACATTACCAACTCCGGAAGACGATCAAAGCAGCCAAACGTGAGTACAGGTGGAGCAACAGTTTGACAACCCTCAGAGTATGTGGCAGGGACTAAACACAATTGCAGACTTTAGAGGGAAAACTGCAGACCACGGCCTCTCTGTGTGAGGATTTAAACGTATTCTACACTAGATTCGACACAGCGAACACCATGAGACTGGACAGTGTGCGCACCGCGGATGACGTCAGTGC